AATAATAAGCGTGTGCGTTTGATGTTGAATATGTGTTATTCGTGACTTCCCCACCCTGTCTCACAGCTTGTTTCAATTTTATCAGTATTAGGAGCCTTGATGAGGTTGATTTGTTTTATCCGAGCATGGCTAACCACTAACAGAACTCATTCTTTCACTCCTTCCCACACGCTCACACAAACGCATACGGATGCGCTCGCACAAACGAACAAATCAACTCTCATGTCACATCGTCGACACCGGTGGCGACCGTAATAAAGGCCGATGCATGTTTCCTAAGCCTCGCTGGCTGGCACGTCACTATGACAACACAATATGTTCAGTGGGACTTGCAACACATGTTGACAGACAAAAACAATCCTCACGGAGGCAGGGCTGGACTGGCACAAACGAATCAGCCCTCACATTTTGAAACGCTCATAACACGAACAGGATCAAGTGTTGAGCAAGGTTCTGTATATGTTCGCATTTTATTTCTTGAAGCAATGACTGTGGATAGCATGATAAACGATGACTTCTCGGCCATGTTGCCTGCTTGCCGTAGTGTTTGTGTCTTTGGCTACAATGTAGCTCTGCCATTGATTTGGGGATTAATGGGCTGCTCCCTCTAAATTGTGAGCTGGGGTGGCTGAAACAAATTAATGGCATTTTATAATTGTAATCATAATTACATCCGGTGTTAGCGCATAGTCGGGAATCCATGGCACTGTTCAACTAGAAAGAAAAAACTCATGTGACAAATAACACAACTGTCAGAGGCGGTCCCCAGAGACTGAGTTTGGAGTCCGCTATGCTCACTTGTGTTTTGCAGGAGCCGAGTGACACGTGACACAGAGCACTAACGTGTGCCGACAGCAAATCAATTGTTGATAGTGTTTCTTCGCTTTTAGGGGCGAACTATTTATATCCGACTGCGCCGTCACTCTTCAAAGCAAATCAGATATTTCCATGAGACAAAGCAACTGTGCTTCCCCCGGCACGCTGTGTGGACGACACCGTCACCACACCAACAAATTGGTGCCGGATCAGGAAATCTTTTTCCTTGGATGGATTCTTTCAGTCATTGGCTCAAAACTCTACTTTCATAAATCCTGTGTGGTGCATGGCAAATTTCTGTGCTGATTTACGTTAGGTCCAAGCAGTTTGTAGATAAGCACAGGTTGGCGGATCTGCGAGAAGGAGGGCTGCACTGCGGTGGGAGTGTTCACAGCCGACTGAAATCATAGCCAAGAATCTATCGCAGATGAATTGAGTGTTTCGAGACCGTCAATCACCCCTTGACCCTTTGTGTGCCCACCCCCCTTACAGTTGTGCTGTGTAGTGGGATGACTTAAAAAATATAATACGGTGATTGATGTTTGATGCCTGCTGTTGACATATTTATATCTGAAATCCATCTTGTTAGAGCAAATGCTTACCCTGCGCATTTGTTCAACGGTGCGGATGCGCTGTGTAGGGAAATAGAGCCTTTCATCTTCTTTTGTCTAATGGAAGAGCATTTTTTTGTTCTGCCTGTCACTTTAGGTCGCTGCCATAGAAAGTGTTTATAATTTTCCAGCCAAGTGACATTGATGATCTGTCATGACGTCTGTTTGTGTCATGGCAACCTTGAAATCCTTGTATTAAAACAAAGTAAGGGAGATCAGTAAGCCATTAGCGAATGGGGGGGGGGATCCACGTGTGGAGGACATTTCTGGTAGTGAATGGAGATTATAAAACATTTTCATTGCTTTTAGAAGTGCACGGAAAAAACAGTATGAGCACTTTTGAAATTGCTCTAAGAAAAGCGAAAAAAAAAAAGTTAACTCCCGCAAAATGAACAAAGGCTTAGACTTTAGTAGAAGTCAGCAAGGGGGTATTTTTATATTACGGCACAAATAACATTTCACCTCGCAGTGACTTGCATGAAAATCCAGGTGGGCAGCAAAAGCTGACTTGCCACAATTCTTTAAATTATGTGCGTGTTGGTGGATGTGTCAGGCCCGCAGTTTGTCGGGAGCGGTATGATAATGTTATTTTGATGCAGTACGACAATGTGTTGATGCATTTGCTCAGAGCTTCGTCATCCATCGCTCTCACAAACACACACTCTACTTTTTCCTTTGTGCGAGCTGCTGCCTGGCCTCCATTATTTACATCACTTTTTTTTTTTGTTTGTTTTCCTCCACTCGCCGTTCATGTGGCAGCCGTCACCCGGTGAACAAGTGATACTTTGGAATTAGCAGGTGAACACAGAAATAAATCTTGCTTGCTGACAGGGCTGCTTGTGAGGAATGGCGTTTACAAGCTATAAATGGGCAACAAGCAAGCCGCTCAGCAATACAGGTGGATGAATAAATGATGGATGATGTGAGTTTAATACTTCATCCAAGCAGCTTTCCACTCCAAGAGACCGACAGCTGCCAAATTCCCGTTGGACTAGAGGAACATTTTGTCACTTAGCCAATAATTATAGACACAAACACCCATTTTGAATGTCAGTGTTGATGAATGCTGATTAGCTTTCACATTAGTACACTTGCAGCACTGGTAGTTTTTATTCATCATTCATCAAAATAGGTCAAGGGTACAATGTAAAAGAATACACTGTCAGGCCTGGTCAGCACCTTCTGCCCCCCAGGGCTGTGTATTAAGTCCCCTACTTTTCACCCCCTAAATTCATAACCCCCCGCGACCCGCCCCCCATCCACCACAACAGCATTATAAAATTTGCAGACAATAGCACTGCGACGGCGCTCATCTCTTGGGGGTGTAGGGGTCGGAGTGAAACAGCATATCTTGATGAGGTGGAGCAACTCTCAGTGTGGTGTGAACAACTTGAACAGAACCCCCTCAAAAAAGGGGATTATTGTGGAGTGCATAAAAGACAGACATTCAAGCCACTGCTCATCTGTGGGGACGCTGTGGAGAGGGTATTTCAAGTTGGCTTCTTGGGTGTACAGACAACCTGACCTGGAGCACAAACACAACAACCGTTGTTGTTGAGGGTCCTCAGGAATAACAATCTGCTCCAAAAACTACTGGTTGCCTTTTATCGTTGCTCCATCGAGAGCATCCTGACTTACTGCATGTGTGTTTGGTTTGCAAGAGGTACAATAGCAGACAGGAAGGCATTCCAAATAAAAAAATACATATATATCATATAATATACCCCTCCCACCCCGGACTATTTGAACTTCTACCATCAAGCAGATGTTACCGAATTCTGAAATCAAGAAGAAACAGATTCAGAAATAGTTTCTTGGCAAATAGCATCTCTGTATTAAATTCAGGATACATTAGGTAACTTGTGGGTTTTATGGATTTACTGGGTGGTTTATGAATGTATATAGTGAGGGTATTTTATTTTGTTTTGGCTTTTCCGATTTTATTATGCTGTGGATTTTATTTATTATGCACTTCAATTTTGTTGTTTTATTACAATGACAATAGAGACAATGATGGATTCATTAATAGATGGTATTATTAGAACAAGGAGAAGAAGACCGTGGGGGAGTCATTATTTTTTATAGCATATGTGGCAGTTATGACTAAGCACCCCAAACTCCGCCTAGCAACAAATTGCAATGCAAACATTGCTCAGGAAGAAGAATTACAGCTATTTTGTTTTGTACGTGGCTTCGATATTTCATTTCAGATAGAATGAATCAATGTTTGATAATGCTCATTGTGTTCTTTGATGAATCTGTCTAATTTCCTGCTTGTGCTGCCCTTCTGTCAGAGGCATCGTGCAATCATCCTAGTAAGATTGTGATTGAGCCTGCTTAACTCTTTCTCTCAAGTAATCATATATCATGATAAAGGGAAAAAATTGCATTTCAATTGATTTATGTTGCTCTTCCTAATTGTGATCTGAAAAAGAAATCTGTTACCCATGACCTGGGGGGGTATTATTATTATTTTTAGGCACAATTACATGCTGGATAATATTAACAAGGCCTACGGTGACTCACTGATGTCACCTGTCATCATTTACGAGGAATTTCCAAAGGAATTTCGATTGGTTGAGAGTGTCGCAGGCGCCATTAAATGGGGTCGGTAGTAACGAGACTCTTGATGCCGCTGTGCTGAAGCTGACGCTCTGTGACAAGATCTGTTACGTAAGGTCGGGAAAGACACCCAAAAACAACCTAGGCATCTCGGAAAGATTTCTGTGTGGAACACAAATATGTTGCCTCGGTTTAGTCAGTTTTTTTTTTTTTTTGCTCTGTGACAAGATCTGTTACGTAAGGTCGGGAAAGACACCCAAAAACAACCTAGGCATCTCGGAAAGATTTCTGTGTGGAACACAAATATGTTGCCTCGGTTTAGTCAGTTTTTTTTTTTTTTTAATTGGAGAAAACATTTAAGAAATATATTTGATGTATTAAAAAAATAGCAGAAGAGATGACTAAAACGGCTGCCTTAACTCCCATGTGTTTTGATGCAATAAGCATATCGGTGGCACATTTTCATCAAATACTGCAACCCCAAGGGCCAATTCTTATAGCACAGGTCACACCTCATATTTCTTACCTCACTGAAATTAGCTGTTTGGAAGCGCAGCCGTTGACTGCCTCATCCTGTATACTGCCAGGGCAATGGTGAGTAAGGCTTTTGTTACCATGAAGACTGATGATGGACAACAAGCAAAGCCCAGAGTGAGAGAGACAACAAAAGTATTTTCTCTTCCTACACTTTTCAATTCGGCATATATGCATATCCTATTCACAAAACTCCGCGTACAAATAGCGACAGTATTGGGGTTGTGCATTCTGAAGCACATCTGCATGTTAAAATGCCACAAAGAACCATCAGTTTATGCCAATCAATCGGTTTGTCAGCATGTACAGTAACTGCTGTAACCTCGTGTACATTGTGCTTTTGACCTTGCACTATCCTTATGCCAGGATGCGACTCCAAAAATAACCGGTGCCAAACATTGATTACCGCTAGCACACAGCGCGGCACAATGCCGAGCAGAAAGACATATTGGCAGCGCAGTTAACACTTACCTTCCTGTCTCGCGCTCATTGTATCACTCTCTCTGGTCATACGCCTTTCATTACACCCACAGAAGAATATAGGCTGATCAGCTGTTGGAAATTTGTTTTTTTCTCTCCATCCTGCCACAAGCAATTAAACCTGTGAATGTGAACAAAAGATGTTAATGGATCCGATGAGTAATTTACCAACAATCGATTGACTTTTAATCATGAGTAAGAGAAACAGTTGTTCCAGCTTGACCCTTGAACAGATCGTTTCTACTTGTGTTAAATTGTTTCTTTAATTCTGGGGGAATAAATGTGAACCAACATCCTGGTATACAAACCTCAGTGGTCCCACTAGATAATCCTATTAAAAATTGAAGTGAAATATTGTTCCGTAATAGACTAAAATATTGCATAACAGCAAGGAGGTCAAGATAACATGCACAAAAAAACGTGTCAAAAAACGTTTGACACCCCTGTTGTCGTTCTTGTTACAGGGCTGCTCAAAAAGGTACATAAGAATAAACAGCTGGAGTTGTGTTTGGTGTTGGAGCATTTTATTTGACAAGAGTCCCGACAACCAAACCACTTCCCGCCCGTCAGTGAATGGTTGCCGGTCTGCAAAAGGTATGCACTTGTATGAACCAGTACGTGGCGGAAAAAGGTTTAGGAATCACTGATATAGATCAGAAGTGTTAGCTTGGTTTGGTGTTGAAAACAAGTCCCGTTCCCACAAGCGCCATTTTGTGTCATGTGGCATGACGAGGAGATGACATTACATGCGTGTTCTTTGTTTTTCCTTTTTAACAAATAGCCCTTCTGCCTATTTTAAAAATCAAACATAAACCTTGAGCACAAACGTTTGCCCACCCCTGACTTAGTGTGATAAATGAGAACCCGTACAAATTAACATTATCTGCTTTTAACTTGATTTATTGTTGACTCTTTTTTTTTTTTGGACCAAAAAAAAAAATCTCTGTTCTCATCCTCAGAATATTTAATCTCCTGATGGCAGTCATTCCAAGGTCCCCTCCAATGTTTATACTGGCATCCCCTTTAATTTTCGGAAGGCAGGCAAAGGACTTAATGGGAAGTGACTATCTAGCTAGCATTCTTTTTTCCCCAGAGGGCACGTCAAAGCGAGGGGTGGCTCATGTAGTGCTAGCCAATCGGTCTGTAAGTCAGGAACGTCACATTTATTTCCACATCTGGGTGAGAGACTTCACAAGCACCGGGATAGGCCAGGCTACTTAAATTGAGGCTCCCCGACTGGCTAGCTGGCGCCGCAGTTAACGCGAAAGGCAACACCCGTAATGCCATGTTAGCACTACCCGCAGAAATGTCTGTGATTCTAACACTTTTAATTATTTTTCCACCTCGCTAAACTAATGCTTATTGTCTGACTTAAATACCGAAAACAAAACAAAACAAAAAAAAAAACATTCAACTACCGGTAGCTGTGTGCTCAACCAAATGTCAGTGCCGCGAAAGCAAAAGCAAAAGGATTTTGCCATCACAATCTCTCTCGCTCTGCTTCCTCCACCCGACTCCTTCATCCAATCAAAAATCTAACGGCACCAGAGTTAGATTATGGATAGACAGTCAGCGGGAGTGGAACAATAAAATGGCATCAAATTTGTGTTTCAACTGCTTTAGTAGGATCCACTAATAGTTTTGACAAATTAGGACTAAACACAGCTAAAAAAAAAAAAACAGTGGCATCTGTTATATCACATCAGCGGAAAATCGCTATACCTATCTATGACTACAAATTCTTGTTGTCACCAAAGACAAAAAAAAAAAATACACTCAAAACAACATTGTCCTAGGCAGATAGATGCTGTTTAACACCATGGGAGCCGTTTAACTGTAATGATGCGAATCTCAACAGAGGCAGAATGGAGAGACATTGTCTGGATGGGAAAAAGCCCTGAAGAAATCATGGAAATGGGGGGAAAAAAAAAACCAAACAGATGTGGAACAATTTTCTCTCATTGTGCCCTGTCCTTATGTTCAACTTTTTTAAAAAACAGTTCCTTCGTGTCTTAATAAATGCTTTTGTCCAAATACCCCAATCATTATACAGTTACCGTACTAATTATTTGTCATTATAATTATAATGCACGGCAGTTGAGAAGGAGAAATTTGGTGTGGAAAGCAGTTATGTAAATTAGCCTCACTCTTATGTAATAGTCAAGCTGAAGTGGAGACCAGGCTAGCACAAAGACACCTTTTCAGATAAGGAATGTGCAGATAACAAAAGACTTTCTTGGTTGTTTAATTTAAACACTTGATTGGTGGCTACACACTGCGGAGACACGACTACTTATACACAAGCCATTAAAAAGTCATTTTTGTGTAAAATGTCTCTTTTAGCCTAAACGTGATGCGCATTTCAGATGCTTTATATTCACTTTCACTTGGCTGCAGGGACCCATTTTAAACACTGACTCATATGTTGACAAGAATGGACCCCAAAGCATTTATTGTAATTACCAAGAGTAAATTTCAAAAATTTGCTTTGCAGACTATTTTGGGCTGTTCTACTTTATCTTTTAGTTGGCTCTGAGGATTGTTGTGTGCAGCTAAAAAAGAAAAAAAACACGGTCTTGTATGTTTTACCGTTGTGTGCTTTCAAGTAGAATACTGTACTTTGGAATTTTACAAGTTGTGGTAAAAGTAAATAAATGTAAACTTAGGGTAACACATGGCAAGACACAGGAAGTAATATGACACTGTAACAACCATCCCTCCATTTTATAATGAGGGGTACACGTTCCCTTTTAAAAACTCAATTTGTGCTAAAGATGAACATCAAAGAATATAGGAACGGAAAATGAAAACCTATTTTGAAACAATCTCCCACTGGGACATACAAGGAGAGGGAAGGACAACCCGCATCAGATGATGAAGCTAACACATTGCAGGTTTCACATCATGTAAGAACAAAGAGATGAGGTCACTCCATACCACTGAGCAGCAACATGCTCCCTCTTTTCTCACTTTCAAAGTCCTTCTTGGGGAGATTTAGAGGAGGGAGACCTGTGGATGAAGAGGAGAGTGAAGCAAATGCAACTGATCATTACCAGTAGAAATGCTTGAAATGACATTTAGTAAAACTTTGAAAAGGTTGTTCAATAATGCGCAACGGTTGTGTCCTTTTAAGCAAGACGTTTGTATGAATAGATACACCACCAAATTTCGTGGTACTTTATGACCAGAAGATCTCACTAATATATCTGATCATCCCCTGCCTTTACAATGAATGGCACTGGGGGTGCGCTATTTAACGGCCATCGTCAAGCCGTCCTCCTTGCATCCCCTGCGCAATCTCCTGCCGTTCCGAGGCATCGGTCTTGGAGACAAGTGAGCGGTTAGCTTCATGCATTATACTAATTGGCCATGTGTTCATGTACCGCCTGTGTCGACTTGTGTACAGAAACAAGTCACGGAGGCTCATTAGAGTGGATAAAGTACCCAAAGGGTCCGCGCAGGCTAATGTATGTATTTTATTTAAAAGCGCATGTAGATCAAAATAGTCTCATCCAAACTACAGCACTCTGACTCATTAAACAAAGCGCTCTGTGGTTCTCTTAATCATTCTGAAGATGTTTTCTCACTTAGCGTATGTTAATTCAGTCACCCGGCGTCAGACTTTACCTCCTTAAGCCAACAAATCCTGACAGCAAAATCTGTGTGTATTAAAATAAGAACATACATTAGAACGCTGCTTTAAAGAAAGCTAAGTTAAGCTTCCGGGAAAGCACCGATGTGTGCTTTTCTCAGGATGGTGCTCCCTATATTTTCGTCGTTAACATAACAATGTGGCAATTGTTACTTGGCGCTATCGTTGACAACCAGAAGAGCATTCGCACTCACGCTCACTCCACTGGGTGTCTTATGCACCCAAATTCAAATGCTGTATGCACACCCTGGAAAACAGTCAGCAAAAGTCTATTATTTTTAGATTTTGTTGGAGGGTCAAGTAACGCTACAGTGCATCTACTGGAATGGATGTAGGTCAATGCATTGTCCTCCAAAGGAGGACTATATAGGCATGGGTTTCCTTCTGTGTATGTCCATGTGAAGCAGAGCAAGTGGAGCCCATTCATCATCCCCATGCCTTGTTCAGATCATGAATATAACCCTGACTACACCCCCGGGAAATGCTGCAACGGGGTAGAGTGTGCACCTCTAACATTCGCAAAACTCTCAGAGGCCACACATGGAGCTAGCACACAAAGTGTCTCAGCCAGTAGCACCAAATTATAGCAATACAGTGTTACTTTTAGTTCAAGGGGAAGTCAAGACAAAACGTTTCTATACAGTAGTATGTCCGATGCACCTGCACTACTTTGTGGAATATGAGCAGCAAAATCCACTTGTTTTTAGTCATCTCACGGAGGCGGCCATTTTGCCACTCTCTGTCAACTGAAATGACATCACTGTCGCTCAGGCAAGAGGTAACGACAAATTCCGTTTTCTGAAGCTGAGCTTGGTACGGGTGTCTTGCTCAAGGACACCGCAGCTGTGTAGCCGGGGATCGATCAATCTATGGCCCTCAAACCGATTGCCACTTGATTGTCACTTTGGGAACTGTAATAATGGAGGACATGCCGCCCTCCATTATTACATGCATGTAGGGACAACCAACTGATAGACGGAGGTGTTGAATGTGTGTTAACACCACCGCAAGCTGAAAAAGTGCAGTCCCTTAGAGCTGCCCTGGGATGTTGTTTGGGCCAGGAGTCTGGAGTGGGTTAATCCCGTGCAGGGATCGCCTCACATCAGCCTAAATAACTGCGAGGTGCATCTCATCTGTCGTAGCAGAGCTTCTTCTATAGCTGTCAGAGGTGAGATAAACATCAAAGAGGTTTTTTAGTTCAGTGGGGAGTGCTTGTCCCTTGGAGCGGTGCGCACCTCTGGTAGTGAAATTTATGATGCACTTGATGGTCCTCCACATTCTTCAAGGATCATCTGTGGTGAAATGACAGTTGGCTGTTTGAGCATATGTGTTCGCGACGGCTGCAGTAAGCTACCTCGTGGCTCTTCTGAGAACAGCTGCATCGCTTTACCTGGATCCGGCATCCGTGGGTTTCTGAAGAGATTTTACTCCTGCATCCAGTTAGGGGTTCTGATTGGGGTGGGCGACAGTCTTGGTGTTGGTGACACCCAATATACACTTGGAGGAAACCTGAAGAAAGATGATCCATATTCCTCCAGGTTACCCTCTCCCGCTTTCATATGCAGCTTTGGATAAACAGTGAGCTTGAGTGGTATCCAATCTCGTGCCACTCAAGCCCATGATGTTTTCGACACTTCCAAAGTATAAAGGGCCCACTACATAGTCTTTCAGTGACCAACGTTGACATGAAACTCACAAATCAGCAAAATAATCCGTGAAGCTGCATTCACCAGCAGTCTGAATTTCTAAATGAAAAGGGTTAGCAATCAGACGACTTTGGCTTTGCATGATTTTGCCTCATCCAAAGGTATCTCTGCTCTGCATGTCTCTTTCTCACCTCACAGGCGCACAAAGAATATGAGACCGGCAGAGCAAAATCACTTCAAGTGTATCTTATCTAACCCACACAATGTTGTTTCAGTTGACTTTCCCAACGGCTGCGGATGAACAGCTCTCTGTGTGGGCAAAATTACACACGGCATCAGGGCAAAGTCACGCACAATGAAAATGAAATGAGTGATCCCTTTTCCCAACGAAGAGTTTTTCACAAACACAATCTCTTGCCTCTCATTTGACAGTTGGGTGGTGCCACTTGGCCTTATCTTGGGAGTCAGAAAGGTGCACAGTTAGTTGAACCGCGGATGAAGGAATCACAAATCCAACCCAACCTTGGTGTTCCTATTCTTTCCCTGACCCAGTTCTTCCTCTGAGCTCCAACTCCCAGTAAGGACCTCCACGGCATAATGAGGGAAGGTCCCATCCATACCGTTTTGTTGAAGGTGAAACATGACAAATTGATACCATGCACGGCCTGCTATAAATACCCTACGACAGAAATGCAACCCCCCACCCCCCCCCCACCCCCCAAAAACTCTTGGGATTCATTCCGCTTGGCCTCGTTGGAAAGCCCCAAGTTACTCCCATCTGCTGTCTGTGCCACAGACCAGTAGCAGGCCAGCTAAAAAGCTGTCCAGTTTCATGCATACTGAATAGGTCTGGGGAAATATGTTGACAGCGGAGGAATCTCACAATGGACACTTGGAAAGTGGATACGATACATTGGCTTCGCCGTCATCCATCATTTTGCACACAGAACACAGGTCACTTTTTTTGTGCTTCTGGTTGAAAAGCCAGATATGAATTGAATATCCGACATAAGGATTTCAATTGAAACAAACAGATTGCACGTATTCTGACAATGCGTTCATGACATTGTAAAAATATGACAAGAGATGATCTATACACCAAATTGAATACAAACCCCCCGCCCATCTAAATCAGAACTATCATTAAAATTCTAGAATATTAAATATTGTTGAACGATGAAACGTTACAATTAAGCAGATATGTTCCAAATGAAATAACGACTCGCGATCTAGCAAGGGAACACTGTCAAAGCATTGGGGGCATGATCGCATGTGTGTTGCTGTTTTATTCATCAATTGGATAAATTCACTCAAAGACCCAAAGCTACCTTCCCTTCAACGCAATTCAAAAAAGGCAAAAACACCAGTTGGGCCGCTTAGTGAGATTGTCATCCCATTAGCTGATGTTGCACATCAACAGTAACCACAGCACCTTCAAGATGTCAGCGCTGATCATTTTGAATATTATCATAGCTCAAAAGTGTGGTAAAGCACATTCGCCTGCCAAAAGCAATTTCCCTGGATGTGTTTCTCTTTCGCTCAGTCCCTGTCCCCCCCCCCCCCCCTTTCTTTTTTTTCTCCCGCTTGGTGGAG